GGTGTTTTTGCATTTTCACCAAATTGCATGTTTCATATATTTTTTTTTATAAATGTAAACAAATTTGATCAAATTAAATCATAACTCATATTTTGATAACAGTAATCTTAAATGGAGGTGTTGAAATTTTGTAATTAGTTCAACATGAGCTCCTAATTGAGCAACAATATGGCTTAAAATATATTTTGCATGTTTTAAAAACAATCACTTCATGTCACATTTGCATTGTTGCATTACCCTTCACTTTGGCTATTTGACTGCTATGGCAATATTGTTGTCGTTGTTATGGCAATTTGCATGTAGTATACCTAATGTTATATAACTATGTGTGTTAATTATAACAGTAAATGTTGTAAAACCTAACCTTCTGAATATATGTTGTGATGATAAAGAAACATAACAATGTACAATGTACCTTGAACGTCAAAGAAACATAACAATAACTCTAATAACAAACTTAACATTACCAACTGATTTTTTATCAATAACATCTATGAGTCTTCGCTTTAGCAAACATATTTGTCTTCTAATTGATTCACATATACCTAGGTAGGTTATTATGTCCTATGTTCATGTATAGTACATATAACAAAATATGCAAAAGACTATGACAAATATATATAGAATTATCTAATTCATCCCTGTCATGCTTGCTTTTAAGTACATATACCGCAATACTATGCAAAAGTAAGCAACTGATTACTGAGGTCAATATTTGAAAAAAACAAAAGAAAGCCATATAAATAAAATTAATAACTCTTATGTAATCTCAAATACGGGGTATAGCGCAAGAATCTCACTCTGTAGAGAAACATCCCAGGTAATGTGAAGTAATTAATCTATCTCAGTGCCTCATCCCTTAATAAGATCAGAGAAATGTCCTGTATAGTCATCACACTGTGATTACTGCTCTAAATTAAGTCTTGTATAGCTTTAACTCAATCAACTTGACAGCATTGTCCAATAGAGCCTTATTAAGAAGAAAATGTTTGCTCAGTTCACCTATCATGGAGACCTGTTGCAGCTTTCACATCAGTTTTCTCTTAATATATAGCAGTCTAATAACGACAAAGTTTTCAGTGATTCGTGAGGCATCTGTTATTTATATGAGGTTGTATGGACATTTGTTTCATGCATATCCTTGGTTATCTATATGACTCTTCATCACCATTTTTCAGATCAACTTGATTTTTGAGAAATTGGCAATTCTGACACCAAAAAGTGAGCACAGGGGCCAAGATTCCCTATTTTTTATTTGAATTTCTGAATCCAATTTGCTCCCCATTGGCTAGTTATCCAACATTACAGATGATTCTAACGTTTTAGTGCTAATAAGATCTTAGTGGTCATCATTCTGATACTCGACACCACATCTTTCTGCCTTCAACTGGAAATATATTTTCAAGAAAGAAGCTAATAGAAGGCCATGCTTTCTCATGATGAGTGATTATTGCCTTATATAGGAAATTGAATATAAAACTAGTGTAAAACTATTTGATAGAAGAAAATGCACTAACCAAGGTAATAAACCCAAATAACAAGTCTAGTTCTAATGATTCAATATGTAACTTAACAATGCTCTACCTCAATATGTGTTTGTTACTGGGGATGTGTAATCATCAGTCATTATTGCAACCTATATGATATGACGAGAAACAATGAAAAAAAATCAAATAAGATTAACACCCAATTTTTGTAAGTCATATTTGTCTAGTACTATATGATAATTATAGCAGATTCCATGCTGTAGATATAGATATTAAATTATGCATACCATGTGTTTTCGATGGAGTAGCCATTTGAACCACAATAAATAACTTTACTGTTGTCAAAATGTCAGTAATTCTTCATATATGTGAAACAACTTGTTCTATCAGATCGGAACATATGTATGTTTACCGACTGGCAGTCAGAATTTCATGGAAGAGAAATGGTGTTGTAATTTGTGATAAGACAATGTATACAAGTTCAACTATTGTTCACGTCTTGTCCAAACAGCCATTGCTCTTCCTCTGAAAAAATCAGTATCTCCAGCTTAAATTGGGAAAAGAAAAGTATTACGATATAGTTAGGTTTATAAACAATCAGTTAATGCAATATCAGTGAATCTTATGCAAAAAGACCCCGAGTGAACAGAATGATACCTTTTGATAGAATAGGCAGTTTTCAGGACAGAAAATTCAAAATGGCCACCATAACATTTACCCATACTGCCAAAAAAGAATACATAGAAACATCCCTAAAAATTTGAAACTGTTTGGGTGGAGACCTTTAGACAAGCTCCTACAGACAAGATCTCGGGACGTGAAATCCAAAAGGGCCACTTAAACATTTACTCAGAATGCCCAAAAACTAATCAGATCTCAATGTTCATACCTAGAAAAATTTTAGAAAAATTTCAGATGAATCTTTGTAACGGTTTTGGCTTGAAATACTTTAGGATGAAAAATAATATTTACCCAAAATGCCCAAAAACAAATCTGTTCTAAACTTTCAGAGGTAGAAAACTCTCTGAAAATTTCAGATGAATCCCTTAAATGGTTTGGCCGAAAGCCTCGACAGATAAGATTTAAGGATAGAAAATTCAAAATGGCAACCTTAACATTTACCCAGAATGCCCAAAAAGGAATCAGGACCTAGACATCCATACGTGGAAACATCCCTGAAAATTTCAGATGAATCCCTCACATGGTTTAGCTGGAAATCTGTGGAAAAGATTTATTGGGCTGCCAGCCCAACCGCAAGGCACCACAAAGCTCCTAATTTATTCAATTTTGTTCACTTCATAACACAAAATACTTATGCAGAGGCCATCTAACTTATCACTTTTAATTTATCAATTTTTCATCAATGATATCATGCTCAAACATGTAGATTTAAAGTTATACATTATCTCAATACTAGTCTTGACACATGACTTATCTTTCACTGAAAATCAGCTTACTTGTTAAAGTATTGCAACATGTTGTACATCTTTCACCCAAAACTTCTGAACCAGCAGTCCCTTTGTAGATCTTTGGAAATTTTTCAAAATTGACGTTTTGTGTTATTTTTCAAATTTTGACCAAAGTTTTACCCTGCAAGGTCACACAAGGACGAGTCTCTGGACGAAAAATCTTCGTCCGAAAATAGTCATGGATGTTTTAAAAAAATTGACGGAGACTTAATTTGGCGGTTTTCATTAATCCGCCAAATTAAAACGGGTGTCAAAAAGCAATTTACAGTACATTGTACATCTTTCACCCAAATCTTGGTAAATGTTACAAACAATAACACATTGTACATCTTTCACCCAAAACTTGCTAACAATTGTAATGAGTTATGTGACACATTGTAAATCTTTCATAAAAAACTGTTTGAAAGCTAGAACACATTACGCATCTGTTTCACCCAAAACTTGCTGTTTGGAGCTAAACATATAATACATTGTACATTTTTCACTCAAATCCTGGTAATCGTTGTAGACTATAACATGTTTTACAAGCTTCACCCAAAACCTGTTAGTTATAAACCACTATTATTGGGACCACTGTTAGTCAGAAAATGAATATATGTTGATAGCACGGGGGTGTCTTAATAGTTTAAAACTCTGCCAACATAGATTTCATATCTCAGGAAAATATGACACATTTTCAGGGTATTCTTATTTGGTGCTTTGCAATAAATAAAACCATGAAGGCAATATAGATATCATATACAGTATTCCATGAACATGACATGAACAACTAGTGTATACGCTATGTAAATATTCACTTGGGAGCAATGAAGAAAGGCAACATAGTTGTGAAGGCTAATGATATGCGGATATTCAGTCAAAAATTATCCAGAAATTTTCTGTGAAATTTGTCAAGACCATAATATACTTTTTCCACAACTATGACACCAGTCAGAAACAAGCTTTATTGAACCATCTGATACCTCAAACTCCTCCATCCATTGAGTAATGAATTATGGCCAAAGTGGACAGTTATTGTCAGCATCTAGGTAAAACTAATTTAGATCAAGACTAGCAGCATTTAGATTTGCATCACAAGCAGTAATAGTCTTTCAAAGCAAAAGTATACAGTGTTTATAATTACATCTATATTTAAAACAAAACAAAAGCCAGTTTTGTATAAATGTGCCATACTTGCTTTTGAGTTTTGATATATCTCATTTTAGTTCTCATACATAAATCTGAGATTTCTTATATAGCAATCCATCTTTCACTGGACTTTAACACATTGTTCACCCGTCATTGTACATTAAAACTTGTTTAGTGTTGTAAGCTCTATGAATGATTGTAAATCCTTCCCCAAACCTCGCTAACTGGATTGTAACACATTGTACTCTGTTCACCCAAAATTTGCTAACTGTTGTAAGCTTTAACACATTGTACTCTATACACCAAAATCTTGCTAACTGTTGTAAGCTATAACACAATGTACTCCATTCACCCAGAACTTGCTGACTGTTGTAAGCTATAAAACATTGTACTCCATTCACCCAAATCTTGCTAACTGTTGTAAGCTTTAACACATTGTACTCTGTACACCCAAAGCTTGCTAACTGTTGTAAGCTATAACACATTGTACTCCATTCACCCCAACCTTGCTAACTGTTGTAAGCTTTATCAAATTGTACTCCATTCACCCAAAACTTGCTGACTGTTGTAAGCTTTAACACATTGTACTCTGTACACCCAAAGCTTGCTAACTGTTGTAAGCTATAACACATTGTACTCCATTCACCCCAACCTTGCTAACTGTTGTAAGCTTTATCAAATTGTACTCCATTCACCCAAAACTTGCTGACTGTTGTAAGCTATAACACATTGTACTCCTTTCACCCAAATCGTGCCAACTGTTGTAAGCTATAACACATTGTACTCCTTTCACCCAAACCTTGCTAACTGTTGTTAGCTATAACACAATGTAAGTAATTCTAAATATTGTAAGTTGATTTGTGTAACACATTGTGATTTGTTGACCACATATAATGACACCACAATTTGCTCCCAGCCTCCTGCCTCCCAGCCGTCACCCCACCAGCCAGGGCCACCCCCAGGTATGATGGGCCCTGGACAGCCAAATGGCGTGAGTAGCACCTTATTTTGCAACATGACACAAGAACCCTTATTTTAGACAAGAAAAGTTTATGTTACACATGTTTTTGAAATCTGGAGTTATTAATGAATTTCAAACTATATTGTCCAAGAACAAATGCCTTCATTTTAAAGTCCTACTGCCATGAGATTTGAAAATTTTACATCTACATATTGTCAATCTAATGAAATTTACAATACAGTTGAGGTCAGTTATGAAGGTTCATCATGTTTGCTTCTTATCCTTAAGTTCCTTAATTATTATTAATCAGTATCGGTTCCTCCATAGTAAAATTAAATAATGATAGCTATTGATGCATGTACATGACTGTATTGTTTTGAAATGTAAACTTAAAATTTTTAGTTAAAACATCTTGAGACATCCATGCATAAAGAAACAAATATGTGTTTTTCATCACATGAATGAGTTCATGTGAACTGAAAATCTCCATCAAAACATTTTCAAGATGGGGAACAAACATAAAATAGCAGATAGGTGCAATCATATCCATCAATATATACCCTGCAGTTTGATGAATTCAAAAAGTTCTAGTCAATCTGAGGGACTGAAGTACAGTACATGTTAAAGAACTGCATTGGGCAATCAACCCTGGACCATACATTTGTCTTCTGAATACAGTGTTACAACTACCAATTATTGTTTCAGTGATACAATCAAAATTCACAAGTTTGATGCCCTGCAGTGATGTCCTCCACGTAATTAATACTTGTAAAAAGCATTCTATTATTAAATGTGTTGCAAAAGATATTTCACCTTAAATCCCTCATTAATGAAACATCTCAACAGTCCACTTAAGTAAATCTGAGGTGTATCACTTACCACTGTTATTTCCCATACATAATCGTTTTTTACCCTTTAACACGTCATGTTTTCTATTTTTCCAGCCATTTATGTCACCAAGGTATCCAGGTGGACCAAGAGGTCCAATGAGGATGCCAAATGAATTTAACGTAAGTAGATAATAGTATAGGCACACCATTTAAAGTAATATAAATAAGTAACAGATGAACGTAAACAAATATGTCATTTACACAAAATTATTTTGATGGATTGTGAATTTAAATAGAACTCGATTACAAGTTCGCCCAATTTTTATGTAGGTTGCAAAATCAAATATAATGAAAACCGTCTAATCCAAACAATATGATTGGTAGTGGCCTTATATTCTTTTCACTTCCCAAACAAGTTTGTTGAATTGTGATATCACCTATACCTAAATTGAAATACAAATAATAGGTAATATAAATCTGCCATTTTGCAAGTGACTGAGATTACTTCATGTACCCATTAATGAATTCACATTTATATTCCATTCATAGATGTCAGCATATGCTTGCTTAGCACACAGGCAATAATGCTGTTGCTATAAATATTTTGTTATGCTTCAGATAGATGGCAGTGTAATCTAGAGATTTATTTCCTTAACATTTTCCCCATGAAGAAAAATATGGTGTTATCTGACTATTTTATGAATTTGAAGCTACAAGAATAACCATATCCTGACTTCAACTTCTAGATATTTGCAACTGAATTATTCCTATAAGAGGGAGAGGGTGAAGCATAATATCGAATATGAGGGCTGAAAATGGAAATTGTAGGGTAAAACATGGAATTTTGAAAATATTTTAATAGAAATAAAAAATATTAGGTCTGAAAAATGGAATTATGAGGGTTTAGTAAGGATTATGAGGGTAAAATGCAGGACCCCCCCCCACTCTATCCCTTAAAATATTTTGAAATGAACAAATCACCATCACCAATTATGCTCATGATATTAACTTTATTTTCAGGGTCCTGGGATGCCAAATCAAATGGGGGGACCAAACGGGATGGATCCACGAGGAGGTAAGTTCCATTGGATGATTTCCTATGATGCCATTACACAAATTTCCTATTGGACTATTTTCCAGTGATGTCACAATATGGTCTCCTGGATACTTTTCTCAGTGGTGTTTTACTTAGTCCCATTTTATAAATTTAACATATGAAGATAAGCATTGTTCAAAAAGCTATCCCTGGTTTTATCTAGAATATAGAGATTTCATTCTTATGTCTTTCTGAATGTCAAGAATTTAAGCAACCTGTAATGCCAAATGGCGATTGGTCTTGCTTACTTGTATTGTGTAAATTACTATGATTTCAGAATAATAAAAACATTAATAACAATTAAATGTCAAGAGTTAAACAAACAAATACTAGAGATATTATTCTTATGCATCAAGGAAAAACTTATTTAAATCGACTCAATTTCATTAAAATAGACTCCACCCCCAAAAATTATCATCAATATGCATGATCTGTTCCTCTGGGTAAGAGTTTTAAGCTTCCAGAAATGAGGTTGTTGCCTAACTGTTATCTTGGTTGTCAGAGCCTAGTAATAAGATGTGCAGTAAAATGGTTAAAACCTGTCTTAGTGAACGCTTCTCTAATGAACACCTCTCTCTAGTGAACACCTGTCTATCTGACACCCTTCCTCCATATTGTATACTGTACTGACTCCTGTATAAATTACCCTCTCTGTAGTGAACACCTACCAACACCGAACATTTTTTCTTTGCAAAAGATGTTCTATATACACAGGTTATACTGCATATTATAATAACTTTTGGAAAAAGGTATCTAGCTATCAGCACCAGCAATGTCCTAATGATGAGCTATGCTGTAGTAACTAGTAACTGCATCGGGAAAACAGGGATGATTTAGAAAAGGAAGTTTGGGATTGCTATAATCGGCACAAAGATTTTTAACTATGATACACTAGATAATCACAGGCTTTGGTCTATAGACTCGAGTTAATTCACAGTATAGGCACGTTAATCACCTAATGGGCCATTCACTATGCATGATATATGAGCTACAGCCAGGCAATCAATGGTTCACAATACACAAAACATACAATTATACCTGTGTGAGCATAGATCAGTGGATTTAACAGTTAGGTACTTAAATTACACAATAATGCATGGATTAATATATTTTGTTTCTCCTATTATGTATTTGATGAAAATAGAAAACTTTATGTTTGATGTGATTGATTGCAAAATGTCAGGTTATACCATCATCAAGCACTCCATTGAACAGAAAATTGGATACGACAACATGGTACATTTAGAGAATAATCCCCACGATTCAAATAATTAACTTAACAACCTGCTTGTTAGTCAGTTTATACCTTTTGTTTAAGACTGAATGTAGTGTTTCAGAACTAGTTGGCATGAATACCTTTAATCCATAGCCATGGCAATGAATCCAACACTTTCTTGTAGAGCTGTAACATTTTGTTGAGAACTTTGCCATTTATGTAGTATGAAAATGCCAGTATGAAAAGTAAAAATTAATGATAAAATACTTACCAATGTTATATCAGCTGCTGATGTAGCATGGCATCTGACATCTTTGCTGTCTCTTGTTATGTTTGCTTCCATCCATCTTATTTGCTGTTACATGGTATGCTTGCTGTTATCTGTCATCATAGCTCTCACCTGGCGTATTACTGTCACCTTCATTCACTCTCAGATGGCATTACTCCTGCTTTGAGGTCAGGCACTCCTGTATTGAGGTCAAGCACTCCTGCATCATATCCTTCAATTCCCCATTTGTGTTTGATTAAATATATCAAATATCAGGTGCAACTAACTATTATTCAAATTGTTGGTTAACTCACAGTATTCTGCTTGAGTCTGAAACAATCTATTTGTGAGGCATATTTGAAACATGAGCTTAATAGTTGAAAGACTGTTCTGGTTACAGCAACAATTCATGTGTACATTTCTCTAATAACAACTGCATATCTTTATAAATCATTCATGTTATATATCAACATACTGTACAACTTTAAATTTTTATCCATACTCTGGTGCCTGTGTTGTGTGTCTTCTCAACATTATGTTTTATCCAAATTGTGTCTCCTTGACATTGTGATTTATCCACACTGTGTCTCTTCAACATTGTGATTTATCCACACTGTGTCTCTTCAACATTGTGATTTATCCACACTGTGTCTTCTCAACGTTGTGATTCATCCGCACTGTGTTTATTCAACATAGTGATTTATCCACACTGTGTCTTCTCAACGTTGTGATTCATCCACACTGTGTTTATTCAACATAGTGATTTATCCACACTGTGTCTTCTCAACGTTGTGATTCATCCACACTGTGTTTATTCAACATAGCTGTTTATCCACATTGTGTCTTCTCAATGTTGTGATTCATCCACACTGTGTTTATTCAACATAGTGATTTATCCACACTGTGTCTTCTCAATGTTGTGATTTATCCACATTGTATCTATTCAACAGTGATTTATCCATACTATGTCTTCTCAACATTGTGATTTATCCACAATGTGTCTTCTCAACATTGTGATTTATCCACACTGTGTCTTCTCAATGTTGTGATTTATTCGCAATGTGTCTTCTCAACATTGTGATTTATCCACACTGTGTCTTCTCAATGTTGTGATTTATTCGCAATGTGTCTTCTCAACATTATGATTTGTCAACACTGTGTCTATACAATAGTGTTTCTCATCCACACTGTCTCCTCAATATTTATCCAGTTTACACATCCTATTTCATTCACATATCAGTTTTTCTCATTGCATATCATTTATGTGTTTATGATCTATATAGCATCAAACATCATTCAAATTGCATACCATCCACATAGCATATCATTTGACAAATCATCAACATAGTGTTTTATCCAAGATGTATCATCTTCATTATATCTTGTCTATATATTGAATCATCTACAGTATGTATTGTCTCCCATCGGATAACCTATCACCTATGGCACATCTCATCAGTGTATTATATCATGCAGCATGTCATCAGCTGGTCCCTACTATCTGAAATGACAATTATAGAAGGTGAGGCTTATTTATTCACCAGATCGTTTGGTAGATTGCTCTTGACATGACTTGCTAGATGTCGACTTGCAAATGCGATGTTGTTACAAATAATACTTGACATTAATAACATTGTGTTAAACAGTCATTGAGGTGACACTGAAGTATGCAGTATTTATTTCAATATCAGCAGTTTGATATGATGGATGTTATTGAAATACATATACAAATAATTGTATCATTTTCGCTGTCTGGTTTTTGCAAATGTAAAAAAGAAAAATTGCTGAAGTTTGAATGGTTTTATGAAGGCTGCCCTCATGTGAATCATATCTATGCTACAATTTCTATACATATAAATTAAATAAAATATGGAAACTCTTTTGGATATGCACATAGATCATATATATCTTTTTTCTTTTATGTGTTATCTGCCGGTAGCAGTTTTCATTTATGAAATGAAAATACATAAGTTAAAATATAGTGTATAATTGTAATGGTAGGAAAAGAAGTACTTATTATAACTCTATGTTATTCCATCTCTTTATGTACAATTGTATCAATTATACTGTGGCTTACTTCATGTATCATCCAAAACAAATGGCAGAATCGTGACATCAATTGTGATATCAATGTTGATATAAAACAATCAATCTAGATATTTATTTTTAGCTGTAATCTAGTATATAAGAACATACAATATGCCTCTCACTATTATCTTTGCACGCTTAGTCTAGTATTCAATATGCCTCTCACTATTATCTTTGCACTCTTAGTCTAGTATACAACATGCCTCTCACTATTATCTTTGCACGCTTAGTCTTCACTGTAAATGAACGAAGATGTCACACTTAAACAAGTGTTATGAGAGTCTATAACACTCTGAACAACAAAATAGAAAAATCATACCTTTCAGAAATGATCAGTGTCGAACCAAGCATATCTGTTGTGTGAAACGTGTACAAGATGGTATATAGTATCTGCTATTGTGCCATAGCAAGGGCTGTCCTTTTCTAAGTCTAATCCTAAAAATACAAAAAGTATAAAGCATCACTTTTTAATATAATTGATAAAAGCATCACTTTTTACTATAATTGATAAAAGCAAGTCTCTGAACTCAACTAGAAATCTCTTCAAATATTGCAAATTGTGAATTGGATTGGTATTTCAATTTATAAATGAAAATGATCCCTATTGACTTCTCCATTATTGGATAGAGTTATCAATTAGGTACAGTTTGGTCATATTTAGTCTCCAATGCTTCATGTTTCTATTATGATTATTTTCCTAATTCATAGTCATTTGAGACCTCCTTTTTTGCTAAAACTGATTATTTTACTGTGTGCATATACCATGCCTTTGTGAGCATACAATTACATATGTACATTGAACCCTTTATGTTGAGTATCTCAAAATTGAACACCTAATGCATTGAACATCTCAGGCCCGTAGCCAGGGGGGGGGGGTTCGATAGGTTACATTGCGCACATCATACATTGAACATCTCATACATGGAACACCTCATGGCTTATATATTGGTCACTTTGTTCATTGGGCACCTTATATATTAAACACCATCTAAAGTTTTATTTAAGTTTACATGCTATTTGTAATGTATATATTGTAGAACCCTAGAGGGTTATAATGGTACTTGTTCACTGTTACCTTCTAGGTTAAATAAAAATGATTAAAAAAAATTAAATTCCTCATACATTGGACACCTCATACATTGAGCACATCGTACATTGAACATCTTATACATCGAACATCTCATACATTGAACATCTCATACATTGAACATCTCATACATTGATCACTTTGTGTATTGACCACCTCATATATTGAATACCTCATAAACAATATGAGTACCTCATTTTGAACCATATACAACAATGAATGGTTTCTTTCAGTTAGTAGTTTTCTTTGGTTTTACTCTATAGTTCTTATTTCACTGTTACTTGATGCCTACCTTTTGTTTCTATATCCAGTAATGGTAT